TTAACGGCACTCGTGGCAATGCGGCCAAGTGATTAGCGTGTCAAGCTTCCAATCTGCACTGTCACGGTTCGACTCTCGCTGAGGGTGCTGATAAGACCGATGCGAGGTAAAAGCTGCAGTCCACCTTTCGAGAGAACAACTTTTGAGAAAGCAAGACTATGTGAAATTCAATGGAAATTTCAGCTCAACTCATATCATTGTGGGAAAATTCTTCTTCTACCAGTCCTTAATACCCTTAAACGAAATTGGGTGAATACATCCGAATTACTAGTAGTCTTGAAATGTCACCTATAAACGAAAAATAAAATCCTTGTCTTTTCATTGAATTTTACTTAGCCTCACCCCATCTTTAAAATGTTACGCTTCCATTATGACCTCTAATCTCACCCTGGTATGGGTCTCATTAGAGTCCGCAACGGTCTTCATAAATAAAGCCATTTAAGAGACCAAACGGAGAAAGTAAGAACTTATCTTCTGGGCCTGATTTAAAATATGAGTAATTTAATAAGGAATAAAATTCCGGATGGAGACTATCTGGACAAGCCAGGAAGCCTGACACTCTGACTTTAACCCCATGCTTTCTGTATAATGAAAGAGGCGAACTGAGGAGGAAGTGGAAATAAAATTGCTTTTTTAAAGAAATGTTGAAACTTTTAGCAAGTTGCTTGACCATTTATCCTAATGAGGCTATTACAAACTAGTGTATTTATTCACTCGCCATTATGTGGTGAGACTTGAAGTTCCATTTGCCAGAAGGTAGATAAACACACAAAAATGCTTACAAAGGCTGTTGTGTGCAGCGGCCCGAACTGGCTGAGCACAAACCAGAAACTGTACATGCGACAAAATGGTCCCAAACGCGTCAGTTCCTTGATTGCTACATTTCTGATTCAAGCACAATATACTAGAAGCCGTTACAATAAAGCGATTAGGAAATAAATTGTATGCATAGAATAAGGGTGGATGACTAAGTAGGGACTACTTGTGCTTAAGTAATATACTTGAGGACAGAGAGGCTATTGAGTCCGTTAGCAAAGAGAGCAACCCAACTGGTCCTCTCGGTTATCGTTGTAATCAAATTCATACCCATTATGCATGTTT